TCCCATACTGTGTGTTTATTTCCATACTAAGTTGAAAATTATTGTCGTACCTTACGGCCGTTTGAAAATTCACCCTCCCCATCCCCCCCCCTTGCTTTAACTTTGATTAAAGGGAATCAGTCCCAAAGCCTAAGGGACTGAACACCTACCATCAAGGGATACGGAACTAAACACCTTCAGTCAAAGATTAGGGACTGAACACTTTCCACCCACCTTTCTGGACCGACAAACATCCACTGTTTCGATGGAGGAACTCCGGCCAAATACCCATCACCTGCCTCTTCTTGTAGTGAGAGTTTAGCACACAGCAGCCTGGTCTCAGACCGGGCCGCGGGGGCGTTGACCCCCCGAAATCCTCTCCAGGTAAACTCCAGGTAACAACAGCCCTCTTGTGTCAACAACACAACTGTTGAGGAGTTTAACGAGCTGCTGAGTAGACTCATTTACTACGTTGGAGGCAAGTTAGTTTATTCAGGTATACACACAGTTACATAGATTATCATACATAGCATGTGTGTAGAGAACCTGGGATAACCCAAAAAAGTCAGACGAAGTGACTTATTTCCACTTGGATCCATTTTCATTGGGCATAACAATCCTGTTGTTCATTTTGAGCTATGTGAACCAAATTTAGCAGACATGCATATCTGTCAACTCTAGATTAGTCTCACTAAACAACAGAAGAAAGGACGGGCTCTGTTGTCAGGAATAAGGTTCGTCTTTTTATGGTTTTAAATGGCTGTGGGGAGCCATTTTTAAAAATGGCTCCCGTGAAATTTAATCGGTTTTCATAACTGAAGAGGATCCCTGTGACTTCAGAGGTTCTCTGCAGTGGTTGACATTTACAAACTTAGTGAAGTTGTCTGAGGTAATTTACAAGGGATTATTGTCGTAAATGAACCATTTAAGTAATCTAAAGGGAAAATATAAGACATTTATATTCAGTACAAACCATTTAAATCTTCCTATAAGGAAACTGGTTCATAGGAAACACCCTGTATATCCACGTCATGTACACGTCATGTACACGTCATGTACACGTCATGTACAGCAACATCATTTACACCAAGTGTACAACGTATGGGAGAAATTTCTAACCGCCATGCCTGCACCACTATCATGTTAGGTTCAAGATTCGTCAGGAAACAGGAAAAGTGGTTCATGACGCGGGTTTTAGTCACATGACCCGCCACTGGAGCTTTGGTCATCTGACCGAGGCCTTCCACTGGCTTACCCGTCCACCCCTTGAAAAATTACTGCAGCACCATCACTACACCAGCCACTAGAATAGCATATCAGTCCCTAGACACTCGACTGTTGAGTGCTACTCAATTTCGTTTGTTGTGTTGTTACGGTGTTGAAAGATAAGCGCATGGGAAGACACAATCACAAGAACAACGATCAGCTAGTGTTCTGTACAGATGAGCACATACACAGAGGTCGAGTCTTAGCTCCTGGCCAAGCCTTTTTGCTAGCTAATGTATGTGTGTGTACTCACCTAATTGTACTCACCACAATTAGGCGAGTACAATTAGGTGAATACACACACACACACACACACACACACACACACACTAGCTAGCAAAGAGGCTGGGCCAGGAGATAAGATTCAACCCCTATAACCAGAAATAGACGAGTACAAAAAGGTGTGTACGCGCGCGCACACACAAAAAAAAATTTTTGGCCAAGTGTCTATCAATAAGTACCTTTGCCAACCAATAACAACTACTACACTGTACTCCCTGTACTTATAATGAATAAAACACGTACAATACCTGTGAAAATAAGTACAACTGCTGCACCTCTCTCTGGCTTCTGTATACCAGTCGCCATCCTTATGTATTTCCATGTATTCTCATGTATCTTCATGTATCTTCATGTATCTTCATGTATCCGCCTCATCTACTTGTCCGTATCACCATTTAAATAATTAGGCCTAACATGGGCCTGTTGACCTACACGTAATGTTTTTTTATATTTTTATAAATGAAAAACCATAGCATACGAATTACAAAGAATTGTTGATAGTGAATGTACGATTCGTTCTAGATATTCGTATTAACGGGAGCGCGTTATAGAGCATCTGAGGAATGGATTTGATCGGTAGAAGGAAGGGGCCAAAGGGAGTAGTTGCTCAATTCCTTGGATCAAGAGCCTTGTAAGGTTGTTTGGGTTCCTTCCCCTCACACCAGGGAGGGCTGGGGTCTCCTGGAGCTTTGGCTTCCTAGTGCGCTCCCTGGCGTGTGTGTGTGTAGGGCTATGTGACTTCGTGCGTTCGTGTGAGTCTAGATTATGTGCCTAGAAGTGTGAGTACTGTGTGTCGTACTAGTACCGTTGTTGTGAGTACCGTGTGTCGTACTAGTACCGTTGTTGTGAGTACCGTGTGTCGTACTAGTACCGTTGTTGTGAGTACCGTGTGTCGTACTAGTACCGTTGTTGGACTGGAGCCGAGAGCTTTCTGGTCACCCATGAGCCTTCGTCGACTGCAGTTGTCTGAAAGAGCTATGTCATGATGTTCATGGGAAAGCCCTAAACCAGCATGGGGCCATTCAGCGGAATGAGCGGTACAGGTTCGATCTTCCGTCTGAGGATCGTGAGACAGGAACCTTTCTCTCGCAGCAAGGTCCTCAGAATAGTAGAAACCTTGGTAATAGATACCAGTAAATTGGTTTAAAGAGAGATGTGAGCAAAACGCTTCGTTCCTGGGACCGAAACGTTTTCTAGTATGTCCTAGTGTTTGCTCATGTATCTTTTAAACCAAAATCTTCAGAGGCTGGGAATTAGTGAATGAGATATAGCCACAAAATCTATGAAAATTTACTTAAATGGCGTCTTGACTTGCAAGGTTTCTTAATGGGGTTTCAAGCCTATCTGCTACACTAGGGACATTTAGTAACCCTATCACCACCAGAAGAGAATGCTTTTAACCCTAAAACTGTGATAAGGGTAAACTCGGAATATACAGTAAGTCCTCACTTAACGTCGTCGATAGGTTCTTGGAAACTGCGACTTTAAACGAAACGAAATATAACGAAACCACACCTCGCTGCCTATCAAACCTCTGTAAAACTTTCAGTTTTGTTTCTGATGTTGCTCTTCTGTTTTTTGTGGCCGCGTACATCAAGGTTGCATACCACACCTTTAGCCCTCATTGCAACAGGGCTAAATCAAGGAATGTTTGCAAAGCAAAAATTGCAAGGAGCACCTCCTACTACCGAACAATAACTAGGGTGTTCCATAACTTGATCGCTAGCGCACTCAACTCACACACTGAGATCCGGAGTTCGAATCCCCGGTACGACTGGATAACATTAGGACGTGTTTCCATACGACACTTGCTGTCCATGTTCACCTATCAGTATGAGTACCTGGGTGTTAGTCGACTTGTGGGGGTCGCATCCTGGGACCAAACTGACCTAATTTGCCTGAAATGCTCTGCATAATAAGTGGCTTTCTATATAGTAGTATGTAATTGGTGTCAGCTAGGACTGTTTACCATGTACATGTGCTCGTAGAAATAAAGATGATATATGGCGGCCTCGCTGAGTGCTTTTGTACCCCATCGATTATTGTCGTGCATTTGTATAATTATCGTATTCTTTAGGAATGTTTATTTTACAACAATTTGTATTCATTGTATTCACTCGATTTTTGTCTCATCAACGTTATAACGAAACGACGTTATTCGAGGACCTGCTGTAAACTCAGAAAGAATTACACCTCTCGGTATATTCTCCCCAAAATCCTTCTTTCACTGTGATATCTTAATTTCTAAGCTGAATCTAAAAACCCGTAGTCAAACTAGGCACAGGTGACCAGCTAAGCTCTCGGTATCAGTATATAGATACAAAACAGATTATTTTTTTGGGTTATTATTTGCTTGATTATTTCGCGTAATATCTGTAAGCTTTCAGGCAGTTTTCTGTTGTTCCGTACGAAAAAAAATGTGTATAGATAATGCCAGGGGTAACTAATGAATTTTAATTGCAATAGTGAATCTTAGATGTTTATGTTAGTATAAGCTTTCTAGGAGATGCTGCTTGTTGTTGAGTGCTACAATGGACAGATTTTACTGTTCTTAGAAAAGTGTTAAGTTGTATTTAAAAGCAAAGTGCCTATCAGTGTTGTATATACAAGTAGAAGTACCCGTAAGTGTGACAAATACACGTAGACAAGTCCTCAGTGTCGTATATACAACTAGAGTATTCGCAATGTATATGTATTAATGTTAAGTATATTTGATAAAATATCCACTAAAATATCCCAAATAAAAATTGAAGTGTCCAGGATACAGTTACCCATCAAAAAAATTCATTCATATCCTCATGTCGTTCAGAATAGGTAAAACTGGTCAATTAACAAGTACTTATTTAAATTTAAGTCCATTCTAAAATTTTCTCATACATTTAAAGATATTTCTTTTTTTAACTTATGTTAATGTAAAAATTAATAATTTTATACCAAAAGAACGTTAGAAAACTTACCTAACCTTATTACAACAAGTGCAATTTAATTTAGCCTAATCCAACTAAATATATTTTAGATAAGTTTACAATAATAAATAAACACAATGAAATACATTTTTTTTGTTAGGTTTAGAATGATTTTTGTGAAATTATTGCATACACAAATTTTCGTTGGCCTTATTCGGCAAGAAGACCGTTCCTATTTAACCCAAAATCGCAAGTTTTACCTATTCGGCACGACATATATATATATATATATATATATATATATATATATATATATATATATATATATATATATATAATATATATATATATATTACGGCTTAATGTGGTGTGTATCGCAGCAATACAGAACACATTAAAGGTTAACCAAGACTATAAATGTTAATGTGTTTTTTCAAACACACACACACACACACACACACACACACACACACACACACACACACACACACGTACATCCCATCCCTTCTTTCCACAACAACAGATCACTAATCAAATCTTTCCCTCCCCTGTCTGTCTCCCCTACAGGAACTAGTGGCTTCCACTCCCAACCAGAGGAACTGGAGAGGCATCCTCATCGCCCTCCTCGTCATTGGTTGCGTCTGCGGCCTCATAATCTTCTCCGTGGTGCTCCTGACGCCTCCTGACGCCGGTCCTAAAGTCACCGGCAGGAGGTTCACTCTCACCGATGTTCTTGGCGGGGCGTTCAAACCTCCGGGGTTCGACGGAAAGTGGATATCAGGTTAGAGATCCCTCTCCGACCTTCTCATTCTCTCTATATATCTACTTCTCTCTCTAAATAACGTTAAATCTCAGGTAACCACTTAAAGATACCTCTTCGGGAATAATAATGACAGTCGACAGTGAATTTCATTCCTCGACTTCATCTATTTTTTTTGGATTTAATAATAGTCATTGAGAGTTCTTTTATTTACAGTAAAAGAGCTGCAGGTGACAGCTCTTAGCTTTAGAAGGTAGGAACTCTCAACCTAACTCTGTAAAAGCCCTTGTGTAAATAAGAGAGAATGCGAGCCAAGCGTTAGTGTGTGAACTGTGCATACAGCCTTACAACACGCTTGCAGACTGACAGATGACGCTGATATTTCGCGATCATTTAAGAGGTCGTTCCAACACTTATTGTGGCAGACAGTAGCCTGATGCATAGTTTGGCCGCACACTAACGGATGGCGTTGTTGCGGCTGGCAGCCATTTGTCTGAGTGTTACTCTCTTACACCACGAGTGACCAGTCTGTTGGATAGATCCTTCTCACGCTCCTAGATGGCGTTACTGGATGTATACACCCCGAAAGGAGTGTATCTCATCGTGTGTATAGTGAGTGATGTATCTGTGTGTATGCACTAAAAGGTCTGTGTATATATATACCCCATAACTTTATATACAAAAGCTGTGCTCGCCGATTACTTATTTTTTCTCAGAGCTGTACTCACATGTACCAAGATTGTGTTCATATATATCTGGGTGGAATGTACTCGCATATACCAGGGTTGTCCTTACCTATATCAGAGTACAAAAAAGAGAGGGATACCGAGGTAAAGGTCGACTAGAAATATAAATCGACTGCCGTTCTCACCCATTTCTCTCTCACACACACGACTAGTCCCAGAGCTAAGAGGTACTTATGTCCTACGAGGAGAGGTTAAGGGAAATCGACCAGACGATACTGGAGGACAGGAGAGATAGAGGGGACATGATAACGACATATAAAATACTGAGAGGAATTGACAGGGTAGACAGACAGAATGTTCCAGAGATGGTACACAGCAACAAGGGGAGACAGTTGGAAGTTGAAGACTCAGATGAATCACGGGGATGTTAGGAAGTATTTCTTCAGTCACAGAGTAGTCAGGAAGTGGAATAGTTTAGGAAGCGATGTAGTGGAGGCAGGATCCATACATAGCTTTAAGCAGAGGTATGATAAAGCTCATGGTGCAGGCAGAGTGATCAAGTAGAGGCCAGCGAAGAGGCTGGGCCAGGAGCTATCACTCGACCCCTGCAACCACAACTACGTAAACAACTAGGCGCACACACACACACACACACACACACACACCTTTCATGGGGTAAACACAAACTTATTTAAACAGCAAAATGGCAGACTTCAAGATCGCTTCCAGATCTGCCTTGTAATCAGCATATTTCCTGAAGTGTGTTTGTTATTGTGTTTGCTGTTCTTGTTTGCTAGGCCCGGAGTGCCACCGAGCGACAATCTTAGACAATCTGAGTGGTAGTGTGTGTGTATTATTGTGTGTGACTGTAATGACGTATGTCAGATTCTGTATTTGTTGCTACAGAATAAAACCGAATTTCCAGCTGCTCGTCATTTAGTGTTTTCTCTCTGAACAAATTTCTAGTCTGCTCCATCTCTTCCTAAATTTACAAATGTGATTTGTTATGAAATATCTCATTAGCTAGACATGTGTTCTTTATTTAACCTTCTGCGCGTTACAGTCCTTCACTGAGGAAAGGCGCTGAGGAATCACCTGCCTTCTTAATCATGTCATCTGTAAGAACAAGATCCGTGTCAGGAGACACTTGGTGAATAAAACTTTAATGGATATCAGCTTGGGGGGAGTGTAGAGGAAGTGAACGTATCCAGATATTTGGGAGTGGGCTTGTGAAGATGGGGTCTATGAAAGTCTAGGGGAGCCAGATAGAAGACGGGGGAAGACGGGTAAGTGGAGAGTGGAAAGAACGAAGTTTGTCTATAGAGGCAAATAGGAGAATGCATCAGAGAACAGCAGAAGACCAGAATGCTTATATGGGCTTGATACACGGGCTTTAAACGTTGCAACTAGGCTGGAGGCAATGGAGAAGGCTGGAGACAGTGGAGGAGGCTGGAGGCAGTGGAGGAGGCTGGAGGCAGTGGAGGAGGCTGGAGGTAGTGGTGGAGGCTAGAGGCAGTGGAGGAGGCTAGAGGCAGTGGAGGAGGCTAGAGGCAGTGGAGGAGGCTAGAGGCAGTGGAGGAGGCTAGAGGCAGTGGAGGAGGCTGGAGGCAGTGGAGGAGGCTGGAGGCAGTGGAGGAGGCTGGAGGCAGTGGAGGAGGCTGGAGGCAGTGGAGGAGGCTGGAGGCAGTGGAGGAGGCTGGAGGCAGTGGAGGAGGCTGGAGGTAGTTCAGAAGGCAGTGGATATATCGTGTTTGAAAGCAATGTGTCTTGTAAAGTATTATTCAATGTGTCGAGGATGGTTGAGGTGGTTTGGACATATATAGAGGAAAAAGCAGAAAGGGACGACCAAGAGGATATGTACTGTAAATTTTGGGTAGAAGAAAGGAGTCGGGGTCGTTACCGGAAAGGTTGGGAGGGAAGATGTGAAGGAGGTTTTAAGTGGTAGAGGATTGAGCATCCAGCAGGGACGTCGTGAACGTGTTAGATCGAAGTGGAGCCAAGTGTGTTTTATAACGACGTGATGTTGGGATGTGAACAGAGTAACATTTATGAGAAGATTCTTGGAAACCGGTTAAATGGACTCGAGTTCTCGAGGTGGGAAGTACAGTGCCTGCATTCTGAAGAATGGGTGGGAATGTTGTGATCCTGGAGGTAGGAAGTACAGTGCCTGCACTCTGAAGAACGTGTGGGAATGTTGTGATCCTGGAGGTAGGAGCGTGTGTGAGCGTGTTAGACAGGAGCGAATGGAGATCAATTGTGTTTAGAACTTGACGTGCTGTTAGAGTGTAAGCAAAGTAACATTTATGAAGGGGTTCAGGGAAACGTGCGGGCTGGACTTGAGTCCTGGAGATGGGAAGTACAGTGCCTGCACTCTGAAGGAGGGGTGTTAATGTTACAGTTTTATAACTGTAGTGTAAGCACGCCTCTGGCAAGACAGTGATGGAGTGAATGATGAAAGTTTTTCTTTTTCGGGCCACCCTGCCTTGGTGGGAGACGACCGATATGTCAATAAAAAAATATATTATTTTAGCTTACAAAATAAAAAATATAGATAAATACATCTCCGTCAGTTTTCTACGGTTACCGCGATTCTTCTGGTAAAAAGGAATTTCCATTTTCACTGCCGAATTCCTTGCTAGGATATTGTTTGCTAGCTATTAGGATATTTGCTATCTGGTAGGATCTTGTTTACTAGCTTATAGGATATTTCTCTAAAAGTATTTTATCCACTTTTCTCAAACAACTCTTTCCTCTGTTTTTAATCACAAAATGTTTGAACGACAAAAACCTTTAGTTTAAAAGGCCTTACTCGTTATTTTTTTCTGTTAGATAATGGAACAATGTGGGTCAGTATTCCATTTTTTTTTTTTAATTTTCCATCTTGCAGTGAAAGCCTACAAAAAAAATTAAGAGAGATTATGGTCAAATAGGCTGCATGTTGTCTTGAAATCCAAGGTGCTATCCTCACTTGTTATGTTGTAACTCAAGTGATATCCCATCTCATCATACTGTAACCAAGATGATGATATCACTCATTATACTGTAACCCCTATGCTATCCTTTCTCATACTTTTATCAACAGCTGGTAAAACTTTCCTCGCTTTCTCTTCAGTTATTTACACATGCTGTAGTTCAGCTTTCTCTTCAGTTTACACATGCTGTAGATCAGCTTTCTCATCAGTTGTTTATACATGCTGTAGATCAGCTTTCTCTTCAGTTTACACATGCTGTAGATCAGCTTTCTCATCAGTTGTTTACACATGCTGTAGATCAGCTTTCTCATCAGTTTACACCGGCTGTAGATCAGCTTTCTCTTCAGTTTACACATGCTGTAGATCAGCTTTCTCTTCAGTTTACACATGCTGTAGATCAGCTTTCTCTTCAGTTTACACATGCTGTAGATCAGCTTTCTCATCAGTTGTTTATACATGCTGTAGATCAGCTTTCTCATCAGTTGTTTACACATGCTGTAGTTCAGCTTTCTCTTCAGTTTATACATGCTGTAGATCAGCTTTCTCTTCAAGGGATTACAATCACTTGCACCGAGAATTATTTCTATTTTGAACGCACTTTCAAGCTTTCTATTTAATCCCTCACACATTTCCTCCTCCACTTCAGTTATTTTGACGTTTTATCTGTGTGTTTTGCCTCTATCATCCAGTTTGCTTTTTCCAAAATTAAACAGAAGATTTGATTATATCTTCTTCTCGTTTATTTCCTTTTCTAAGTTTATTTCTTCCTGTATTCTTGTATTAATTGGAACCTGTTCATCTGAAGAGGATCCTAGAAGGGGGTCGGATTATACAGGTCAATTAATCTCCAGAGTTTGTGTCCATGTGGTTTATTATTGACTATTTCTGGCTTGTTTGAACGTCTGATACCTGTCTGCAATAGCCATCTTTCCTTGGCTGGTTCTAGTCCTTTCCTGTGTCCGTGAGTGCGTCTTAGAGTATATTAATTTAAGTGTGTATGTTTGTGTGTGTGTGCGCGCACTCACGCGCGCGTGCGTGAGTGCGTTAGCGTTAGACTGTGTTAGTGTGAGTGACAGTCAGGCCCAAACAGTCTGGAACCAGACTAGTAATTAAGTTAATGGAAGGAAGAGGGGAGGGCATACCGAGGTAGGGGAAGAGGGAGAGGGGGAGAGGGAGAGGGGGAGAGGGAGAGGGGGAGAGGGGGGAGAGGGGGAGGGGAGAGGGGGAGGGGGAGGGGGAGGGGGAGGGGGAGAGGGAGAGGGAGGAGGGGAGAGGGGAGGTGGAGGGGGAGAGGGGGAGAGGGGGAGAGGGGAGAGGGAGGAGGGGGAGAGAGAGGGGGAGGGGGAGAGAGAGGGGGAGGGGG